GAGCAGTGGCTCCGAAGCAACCTGCCCCAGATACCGCCAGTGCTCACAGGGCCTCTGAGATTCCAAACACAGACATGATGATGTGTCGTCCTCTAAGACATCAAGGTCAGCACTGGAAAACTGCATTTTTTATTTCACACACTGTATTCATCTACTTTATTTCATATAGTAGCTTAAATACAACAAAGTATTAATTTCAGATTAATCATCATCTAGTAAAATAACCCAATTTAAGAGGGGCTCTATCTGAAGATGTTTCTACCTACTGCATAATGAATATACAGAACCTACTGAGCATAAAGAATCAATTTGCAAAAGTTCCCATGGGCCATACTTTGTTTAACAATGAATCTATAAAATGTTCATCACTAGTTTTCTGTTTACAAAAAAGTACATGCTCAGTTCTGTAGGGGAGAGTGATGACTCACCCTAACCTAGAAGTGTCCACCGTAAACTCTTAGGCTCCAAACACAATATTAAAGCCAACAACCGGAAGCCTGGAGTGGTCAGAAATAAGGCAGATTCTGAGACTCAAGACTGAAAACAAACATCCTAGGACAAACTAATTTTTGAGCTTTTTGAAAAAGACTGAGTAGCAGGGTTCAAAGCAACCATAATGTTAAAATTTGAGGAAGAAATTCTAGAAAAGAAACAGAGTTGAGGATTCCCAAATTTGGTGCAGAAAATTTATTAAAATCTCCAGCTGACCCCAGAATTATGTATGTCAAAAATTAAATGCAAAAGTCAGACTAAGGAAAGATTTGAATTCCTACCAAAAAACGAAGTCGAAAGACAGCTTAACAAAGTTAAGTACATGTTAAAACAAAGATACCTACATCCTTCAGAGAAATAAAACAAAATCCAGGGTTCCTACAGTATACATTCATAAAATCCAGTAACGCAATCCAAAATGAGTAGAATGTGAAGAAAAAGAACGGAAAGGCTCCCTGTCAAGGCAAGAGAACGTCAATGCCTCATAAAACCAACACGGCCTGGACTTCAGAACTGAAGGACAGATATTTAAGCACCTATTTTAACTGTACTCAGTAAAATAAAGGCAAATTTGCAATAAATGAAAAAACAAAATTTCAAACAGAAGGAAAATGTCTCCCTCACTTCTCATACCCCCCCAATAAAATATCAATACTGAAATAGAAAATTATGAAACAATAATTATGACACATGACATAAAAAACTTAACTGATAGAATTAATAACAAAATGAACATAACTTATGAAAAAAAACAAGCTTAAGATCTAGCAGTAGGAAGTGGGCACATGCCTATAATCCCAGTCGCTTGGGGGCCTTAAGGCACAAGGATCTCAAGTTCAAGGCCCACCTAGCAAACCTAGTGAGACTCTGTCTCAATGTAAAATTTGTAACAATGCTACTGGAGGTAACAGAGCTCTCCCCCAGCGTGTGGGAGGGCCTGGGTTCACTACAGTACAGCAAAACTGAATAAATAAAAGATGAGCAGCAGAGCAGCAATAGAAATCATCCAATCTGAAGAACCAAAATATAAAAATAAAAAACAAAATCAATAAAGAAACAGAGGCACAGAAACCCAAGTGTTCTCATCAAAAGTTCAAATATGTGTATAATTAAAGTTTTCTAGACAGAAGGAGAGAAAAAGGGTCAGAAGACATATTTGAAGAAACAACAGCTGAAATCTTGTGAAGATCTGAGAGATCCATTAAAAAAATAAAATTTGCACAAAAATTGAAAGAGAAAATCTGACTAGTGTTCTATCAATCAAAAAACACTGAATACATCATCAAATTGCAGATGGCTTCACTGGTGAAATCTATCAAATGGTTTGAGGGCAAAAACAACAATATGACATACATTGTCTGAAAAAAAAGGAAAAGAACACTTCTTCCCTCAGTTTATGTAACCAACCTAACACTAATATCATGGCTGTCACAGAAGGCCTTAGGCCCATGCCAGGCAGAACTCAGACACCAGGGATCATCACCACGTGAGGACAACATGCTGCTGCCGAGCAGTGTCCAAGGAGAGGCACAAAGGCCACCCAGAAGATCACGACCAAGACTCCCTCAGTAAAAGGAAGCTACACCTGTGTGTGTGCCTTTGACAGCGCAGAAAAACAGTCAGGAAACCTCACCATTCAGTCAGACAAAAGGCTCAGAGGCGAACAGCAGGGGACTTCCACCCAATGACTGGCAGTGGAAAGCATGCAGCTGGTGTCAATCTGATGACAAAATACTAGGAGCCCCAATGAGGAAGCAAAAGGGCAAAGGGGGAAGAGGGAGGAAGGAGCAGGAAAGAGACATTTAAAAAAAAATAATACTATGAGCCCTCCTCCTCCACTGGGAATGAGGGAAGGGCTCCTTTCTCACCATGCACTCAGCCTCTCACTGGAGATACCAGCCAATACATTGCTGTCAGCAAAATAAATATAAAGGCATAAAAACTGTGATGGAAGAATTAAACTTATAAAGCAGATGATATGATTACGTACACAGAAACCATAAGAAGTCTACAAAAATCTAAAAAGACTAATGATTTCACAAAGCAGCTCATATTGACAATGTGCTAAATTTTATATTAGAAACAAACACTTGGAAAATGAAAGTTTAAAAATATTCATTATTCAATAGTGTCAAAATATAAAATAACTAGGTTAAGTTTAACATAACATGTAAGACCCACACCCTACAAGAACCCATATCCTACAAGTACCCATACTCTACAATGCTGTCAGTAGAAAATAAAGAATATCTAAATAAATAAAGACATATGCCATATTCAGGAAAATGCTCAACAGACTCATTGCAACTGCAATCACAATCCCAGTAAGTCATTTTGTTGAAATTAACAAATGAATTCTTAACTTTGTTTTGAACTATAAAGGACCTACAGTAGCTAAGCAATCATGAAAAAGGAGGACACAATTGGAGGAGCACTATATTATCTAACTTTCAGGCCTCACTATACAAAGCTACACAAAACAAGACACAGTGGTACTTGTATAAGGGTCCATGAATAGATCAATGAATCAGAATAAAAAGCTCAGAAATACACCTCCATTTACTCAGCCATCTGATTGCCATCAAAGGTGCTAAAAAATTAGAGGCGAGACAACACCTTTCAATAAGTAGTTCTGAGAAAAATAGATGCTCACGTGGGAAAAAATGAACCTGAGCCAGAAGCAGCAGTACACACCTATAATCCCAGTGACTCCAGAGGCTGAAGCAGGAGGATTGCAAGTTCAAAGCCAGCCTCAGCAACTTAGCAAGACCCTGTCTCAAAACTAAAACTAAAATAAAAAGGGCTGAGGATGTGGCGGCTCAGTGGTTAAGCACTCATGGCGTCAATCTCTGGTACCAAAAAAAAAAAAACCTGACCTTTGTCTTAATACATTTTCTGTTGATATAATAAAATAACTGAAACTGGGTAATTCATTAAAAAAAAACAGAAGTTTTTCTTTTGGCTAATAGTTCTGGAGACTGGAAAGTCAAAGAGTATGGTATCAGCATCTGCTTGGAATTCAGTGAGGGCCTTCTTGCTGCCTCATAACATGGAGCAAGACATTTTGGATGTCACTTATTATACAGTTACTCAATGCCATCAAGGTGCCCTACCCTCATACACTAATCTAACCCTGACTACCTCCCAAAGACCTTATCTCCAAACACCATTAATTTATGAATGGAGTGATTAAATTCCCAGCCCATGAATTTTTGGAAGATGCATTCAAACCACAGCAAAACTCTATGTCATATCATATACAAAAATTCATCTGAAATGCATCACAAAACAGTAAGAGCTAAAAGATAAAAAGCTTTCAGAGAAAACACAGAATATATTCATAACTTCCCAAGAACTCTAATATTTCCATAAGGTTTGCAAAGATTTTTCAGTGCACAGAAGGCAATAACCATAAAAGAAAATACTGATGAATCTGGCCCAATCAAAATTGAGAATGTGGGCTTATCACAAAGCCATCAAAGAAACAATACACAAGCCATAGACTGAGCCAAATATGTGCAAAGAGCATATCTAACAAAAGACTTCTCTCTATGTTATGTACAAAACTCCTGCCAAACAGTGATAAAGACACACAACTCATTTACAAACAGGTAAAAGGTATAAACCTCACAAAAGAAGATATGTGAATGGTCAATTAGTATATGAAAAATCGCACAAAATTATGAGTTGCAAGTTGACATTAAGAAAGGATACTGACATATCATAAAAATAACTAAAATAAATTTTAAAACAACAGCACCAAATATTGATAATATAGGGCAATCACAACTTGCATGCTTTATTTGTAGACATGTGACAAGTTATGGCCACTTAAGGAGGAGAAAAAAAAAGCATGTGTCTTTCAAAAATAAATACACAGAAGTGATGACACCGGTACTTTACCCAGAAGTGAGAAAATGTGTCTCAAAATTATTTATATAGAAATGCCCACAGCAATTCAACTTTTAACAATCCAAAGTGAAAACTATCTAGGCAAACAGACAAGATAAAACTGTGGTAATATTCAGCAACATCAAAAAAAATAAATTACTGACAAGTGCAACAGCATGCACCAATCATGTATAGAAAAAGACAAAACAGAAGAAATTAAAATAACAGTAGAATACATGACATTTTGAACATATATGCACTAAGCCTTGTTCTAAGCATTTAACAGGGATGATCATTTTAAGTTCTCACTGTCCAACTTCATATTGCCAATGAGAAAACAAGTCTGACCTCACACTGCCCACGCTGACAGCAGGACTCATAGGTAATTTCCTTGGGGGCTCCACAACTCACACAAAAGTCAAACAGAAAGGAGAGAACCACTAAACCCGCTAAGTTTGCTGTTACACTACTTATTAACTTAAAAACAAGTTTCTAATTATATATACATGGGGGGTGTTGAGAGAAACATCTCTAGAAAACACCCAACAGCATACAAACCAACCAGCCACTCCCCGGGTTGAGTCAATGCATCTGCAGCGTAGACCTCAGGGTCTTACCTTAGGAAACTGTTTTACAGGAATCAACACCTTCTGTCCCAGCTTCATGTTCTTATTAATCACCACGTCAATGTACTTTTCTTCATCCTTGCCTTCTCCTTTTTGAAACTTTTCTATTTCTGTAGAGGCAAAAAGATAACCATGAAGCACATGACCCAGAATGGCAGAGGACAGAATTTATGGTTCAATACTGTGACATGAAATCAAGTGCAAAAATGTAGGCTCTTAGATCCCCATGATTTTTCAAGTAATGACACATTGCCTATGTTATCAATGAATCCTCACAAATAGAAGACATTCATATACAGAGGTTCTACAAAGTCAATCCCACTGCCCGTGCTAATAGAGGGGAACAGCAGGCTAGATAACAAACACAAAACAGTAAAGACACACTGGGGCCTTCTGGAATTCAGAGAGAAGCTGATCAAACAAGGAAAAGGCAGAGGTGATCTCAAGTCAGCACTACAAACTGGCTTTCCCATTTCTGAAGCATGGGCCTTCAAGGGCTGACTCTGCGATGGCACTGAAGGCCCAGCCTTACCTCCTCACAGGGCAAGCGACTGCAGGCAGTGTTCTATGGGACACTCTGAAGACTGCACCTCCATGCTCTTCCAACACTCATCTCAGTAAATCTCACTTTTTCTGAGCAAATGAGTTTTTCCTCAGTGGAGCAGCAAGAATGTAAGAGTGGCTCTTTCTTTCCCAGGTTGAGGCTCACAAAGCACATCACGTTCAACTCTACGCTGCCCTTATGTAAGAGAGAACATCATACCTCTCCCACCAGAACAGACTTCTCAGTGGGATCTTTCTTCCTTCAACAAACATCAACTACCAATGACTTTCTATGTGCAAGTTTCAGAGCCTAAAATATATCAGTACACTCGTCATTCACCTCCCGGCCTGGAGCAGGTGGTTGTGCAAGAGGCACCCATCAGATGCTCCGGCGACTGCTGAAATGAGGGTATGGACTGCCACCTCCAAGCTACAACTGCAAAACACCAGGTGCAAAGAAGGGCCATGGCCTGCTGGAGAAGAACCCAAGGGTGGCCGCCATCAACTGAACAAAGTGGTTCTTAAATTGATCCATTTTGCTTATTAAGCTAGAAGCAGTTCAAAAATCCACACATATCATCCCTGGACCAGGTACCTCAGACTCGTGACATTATTCCATCCTCAGGACAAGAGGTTCAGAGAGGTGACTTGACCAAGGCAGCCAGGAGAGGTGGCACACACCTGTAATCCCAGCAGCTCAGGAGGCTGAGGCAGGAGGGTTGTGAGTTCAAAGCCAGCCTTAGCAACTTAGGGAGGCCCTAAACAACTCAATGAGACCCTGTCTCCAAAATAAAATATAAACAAAGTCTGGAGATGTGGCTCCATGGTTAAGTGCCACTGGGTGACTGAAGCAAAGGCAGGACTTACACCTCAGTTCTGTCTGACGCAGAACACAGTGTGTCACCATAGTCTCCCGCACTGCTTTTTAGTGAAACAAACATAAGATTGCCATGGGCAGCCTGGGAGAAGTGGAGGACCCGTTAAAAGCTGGAGGCTCCAGATTTGGGACTTCCATCACCACTAAGAAGCCAAAGCGCCTCATAAAACCACTAGGGGAAGGTCGCTACACCCACTGTTGTACCTAGTTGATGTCTATGATTAAAAAAAAAAAAATTGTTATGATTCAAAAGACATAAACATTTCGGGATCCCAGTCCTAGAATGATTCTATAACAGGACACCTCCTAGGACTCGGGTTCTTAACGTGTAAAACCAGAGTATCTAGGACTTGCTTCTAAAATGCTAGGATCTTTTGTGAATCGGGGAAGCTCAAAGAGACTCTCTGCTTGACAAACTGCAGCCACAGTCACCCAGCAGTCCTCCTGAGTTCTGTGGGTCCTCACAGCACACACCAACCTGAGGCAGTGGAGGGTGCCTGAGGAAGGGGAAGAGGAAAGGGTCGGAAGAAAGGGAAGCCTGCCCAGCAAGGCCACAGCCACCTAATGGGCAGCTCCTGTTTTCTTGACCCTCACTGTGCGTTCGCTGCAGAAAGCACAGCAACAACACGCGCAGAAAACAGAAAAGCACACTTAACATACTGACGTTTCCTTCTATGAGAGCACATACCTGCACGTGGTAAGGATCTGAAGCACTATGACGGGAAGTGCTCCTTGTGTTTCAGCCCGTCACCCATACCCACACTCAGGGAATGTATGCACACAGTCACAGATCCAGGCACACACAGGTTGATCCACATACATGATCTCAGGAGTGTCTATAAACAAATTCCCAGAGTCTGAAAACTATAGAACTAATGGTATAAATGAGCCAAATTTGTCTTTTTGTTTTTCTCAATAAAGAGCAATAAGTCACACATCAGTTGCTTTAGTAATTATGATAATTCATGACTTCAGCTTTAATTAGTAAAAGAAAGTAAATCCCATCTTTCCTTATCTACTTATTCAATCCTTGGAAATACTTTGGGCACAGCTAAAAGAGTCAATGAAATTAGGAACACCAAAACTACTTCTTCAGGGGAAAAAAAAGATTAATGTGTGTGGACTTCCATCAAAATAGTTTTAACTGCCTACTTTCTTTTCAAATGACAAAGAAATTTTAAAAAATCTAGAAGTCACAATAGATGCTCAATTTAACATTTAATTCCTTAAAATCAGAATTTAAAATACTCCTTTTATACATTAGTGACATTTAACATTTGAAGTAATAAATAGTCACACAGGCAAGTTGTAAAAATTAGAAAAATTATATATTCTACCTTACATTAATGTTTGAGCATACCTATGATTTTAAAGAGGAAAATAAAAGAATATCTAAAACAAATACCTTTTGTCTCTTTATACACACATAGTTATTTTACAAATCACTGTTTTGGCTTAAATAAGCTTTGAATTAATCTGGGGATTAATATTCATTACTTAAGATTTATTTTTTAAAAATGATTTGAGCCTGAGGGTGTGATTTACTGTTCCTAAGGCACCACAAGGCCATGAACCCACGCCCTGCACAGCAGTCAACCAGCCCTGGTCTGAATTAAGGCTGCTCTACTTTCCTCAGGCCTTGGGCCTTTCAGTTATGGAAGCCAAAACTGATCAAAGGTTATTTTAGGGCTGGGCTTGTAGCTCAGTGGCAGAGCACCTGCTTTGACTGGGTCAATCCTCAGTACCACATAAAAGTAAATAAACAAGAAAAAGACATTGTGTCCACCTATAACTAAAAAAAATTTCTTAAAGATTAAAAAAACTTGGTTTATAGATACTATTCAATCAACAATTTCACATTTCTTAAATAACTATTACATTTGTTTTCTGGTATTTTTCATATTTTTAATTGGTTCAGTATAATTGTTCACAATGATGGGATTCACTGTTACACATCTGTAAATGCATGTAATATAACAACAGAATTGGGCCAAAATCATTCCAAGCGTTTCCTCCCTCCCAGGATTCCTTTCCTCTACCCTATGGATCTCCTCTCATTTCCCTGAGATTCCCCACCACATACACATACACACATACCCCTTTCTTTTCCTTTTCCTTTCCAGCTTCCATATTTAAAAGAAAACATATGACCCTTGATCTTCTCAATATGGTTTATTTCAATTAATGTTATATTCTCAAGTTCCATCCATTTTCCTGCAAATTACGGAATTTCATTCTTATTCTGGGCTGAATAAAACTCCATTGCGCACATATACCTCATCTTCTTTATCCATTCATCCAATGACAGACATATAGGCTGGTTCCATTGTGAACTGTGCTGCTTTAACAAGGAGATTCATTTATCTCTACACTAGGTTGAATTTAATTCTGTAGGATAAATACTGAGGAGTGGTATAGCTAGGTCATTTGGTGGTTTTATTCCTGGTCATTTTAAGAACCTCCAAACTGATTTCCAAAGTAGTTGTGCTAATTTACAATCCCATCAACAGGGGTGTTCCTTTTCCTCCACATCCTCTCTAGCATTTATTACTGTTGGTATTCTTGACAGATGCCATTCTGACTGGAATAAGATGAAATTTCAGTGTAGTTTTGATCTGCATTTAAATTAAACTTTTTTAAGTTTTAAAGAATTTTTTAAATACTAAAACTAAATAAAACAAAAATTTATACTAAGCTAGCCAGGCTTATATTTACACATTGTTGGGAGAAAGATCTATAAAAGTTTCACTCTCTTTGGATAATTCATTCAAGTTCTTCATCACCCTTTCATTGAAATTATGATGGAGAATTTACCTGACATTCATGTCTCACTTAAAGAACAAATATGTTTGAAAGTTAGATATAAAACATTTTGATATTTAAATACAATGGGGTTTCCCGTGATGGGGAAATGCTGGTATCTACCCCCGAAAAAAGAGTGAGTTCTGATACATGCAGGAATTATACTAGCTGCTGAAATAGAATACAGAATGTGAACCACATAAACAAATGTACAGAGTGCTGCAGAAAAGGGACTAAGAGGTCTAGAATTTAAAAATTACTTTAAAAGCTGGTAAATCTGAAATATGTGCTAAATTCCTCAAGTATAAGGAATGAAAACTGCCAGGCTTCAGGAACATAAATAGTCCTCTGCAACACTAGTTCACATTTCACTTGTCTGCACAGTTAATAACTAGAGTTTTACTAAGCTATTATAATCTACCTTTTCCCCCCTTTACTCTTGTTATCAAGACAAGATGGAAAAAAAATCGGGCAGTAGTAATGATAAAATTTTCACTTACAAAGTCAGTAAATGAACAGGCTTAAACATGAATTGATTTTTTGACCCCAAGTTCTGGGCTCCTGCAGAAAGACTGGACAGACTCAAAGGAGAAGGGGGGTGATTCAGTCAGGCCAACAGGGAGAAAAACTAAGGACAAGTAAATAGAGGTCCTAGCACTGACACAGGAAGGAACCTAGGTTAAGTAAGTCAATAATTATTAAGAATGCTTTAAAATAATTGGAACAACTCCATAGCGTTTATGAAGAGCTGCTCCTCACTGCTGAAAAGTGCTCTTCTAGAAGTCATAAGTTGTTTTCCTAAAGAAACACTGAATAAAATTCATAAAAGGTCCCGAAAGGGATGGTTGACTGATGGAGTCCAGCCTGCACCATGAAGCACCAGTGTGA